GGAAGACGATTAATAAGATAAGCTGTGGTCAGAACGACCTCGCCCCAGTAAGACCAAGGTACATTCATAGAAAAACACATGCAGCGAGCCATATCAAGAAGATGGCGATTCTTGCACTCTGCAACCCTATTTTGTTGAGGAGTATTAGTGCAAGATATCTGATGTATAGTGCCATGAGTGAAAAAATAGCTCTCTAACCCCAAATCGATGTACTCACCCCCATTATTAGAACGCAAGATTTTGACAATTGTCCCAAACTGAGTACAAATCATTTTATGAAAATTTTGAAACATAGAGAAAATCTCACTTTTTTCTTTCATGAGACACACCCAAATAGTACGAGAAAAATCATCGATAAAGATAACAAACCATCTATGCCCTTTTAAAAATACAATACGAGATGGGCCCCACACATCAAAATGTATTAAAGAAAAAGGAGCTAAACTTTTATTTAGACTTGGAGCAAAAGAAGCTCGGTATTGTTTGCCAAGTTGACAAGACTCACAAAGAAACTCAGACACATTATTATTTGTAAAAACAGACGGAAATAAATGCCTAAGTAAATGAAAAGAAGGATGCCCAAGACGTCGATGTCACAGCCATAAATCCTCCTTGGTCGTTGGGAACTGGATGAAATGATGAGCAAGCTTGTTCGGCTGACCCAAGAAATGGAGACTATTTTTTGCACTACCACTGCCAATCATCCTCCTCGTGACAAGGTCCTAAAAAAGATAATGATCCGGAAAAAAATGTCACTACAGTTCAAATCCTTAGTAATAAGACTCAAGGATAGAAGATTAACAAAAAAATTGGGAACGTAGAGCACTGAAGACAAAAATAAGGTAGGGGTGACATGAATTAAACCTTTCCCAGAGATAGAAGAAACAGTACCATCTGCAATCCTAACTTTATCTTGACCTGAAGAGGGCTTATATGTTAAGAAAAGGTCAGAAGACCCAGACATGATCTGAGGCACCAAAATCAATAATTCATGGCAAAAACTTATGGGAAAGAAAAGCACTAGGAGAATAGGCTAAGTTACCTAAACGGTCAATCAACGAGGAAGATGTACTGGGAACAGTAGAAGACTGGCAGGCTAGGAAATGACGCAGAACAACCTCAAGCTTAGGAGAAGTCATGCTAGATAAACTATCAAAAGTCGAACCAACTAAAGCAGAAGTAGAATCAAGGATGTCAACATCACTAGACTGATGGGCCCGTAGATTAGAGCCACGTCCTCTAGACTGCCCTGATCGACCGCCTCTAGTACCAGACCAATCATCCTGACTCCCTGATGGAGCCCCATAAAGCTTCCAATACGTCTCACGAGTATGCCACAGCTTGCGGCAATAATCATAGAACACAGCATCTTTTCCTGAAGGATGGAAAAGTGGTAGTGACAAACCAACTCCATCTCGAGAATGAGCAGAAAGTAATGTTGAACGGTCTCCAGTAGCAGATGGTAACATAGCAGAACGACGACTCTCCTCGTTCTATACATATGCAAAGGCCTCTTGAAGAGATGGAAGAACATCCATGCCAAGGGCACGACTCTGGACCAGATCAAACTCCACATTGAGGTCTTCCAGAAGCTTGAAGACCCTCTCCTGCGCAAGAAACTTCTGGTAACCAACTGAGTCAACTATACAAACAAGCTTGTAATCTAGGAAATGATCTAGGTGTTTCCAACCATTAGTCAAAAACGTGTAATACTAGAAAACTGTATGCTCTCCCTGTATTGAGTGCTCAATAGACCAGCGCAACTCAAAAGACTGAGAAAAATTTCCTTTTCGAGAATAAGTAGCAGCGACTGCTTCCCAAATATCCTGGGCAATATCCATGGATAAGTGGCCTTCCCCAATCTCAAGAATAATGAATGAGTCACCCCATGATTAAAGAGTTGGTAATCTTCCATTGGTCATAGCCAGGATCCATAATACCTAGTGCTTGAACTCTCCCATTAATATATCCCATCTTCCTCCTACTCTTCAGAAAAAGTGTCAGACACTGAGACCATAAAAGGTAATTCTGACCATTAAACAAAGCGGTGGTGATTTTGAGGTCAAGGTTCAAGTCCTCAGATGTAAAAGTCATAACTGGACTGGAGCTCTCCCCTTTAGATGGTGAGAAGTAGTGGTAGATTCACTAGTTAGGTCAGCCATAAGAACTCTACAATTTCAACCCAAAAAACCTTGCACGAATCACAAGAATAGAAAGAGGAGTGGAATGGACTGAAACAAGCAAAATCACATACAGACCACTATAGGAGCATAACAATTAGATTACTGGGTCATCTATGGATCCAAAAAATAAATCAAATACGGGAAAATGAACCTCCAATAAAAACAAATGTTGAACTCTGTTCAAAAAAGTAGAGGGAAAGAAACTTGGGGTAACAAAAGATGGGCAATCCTCAAACACTCATCCACAGAAGCCGAAATACACGAAGAAAGGCTAGGAAAGCCCTCACAAGGGTCGACTAGGCCAGAAGGGCCTTCGGCTAAAGCCGAAAGAGCTCTGTGGGACCTTGGCTGGTTCCCACAAAGACTCAAGGACCAACAATGAAGGATGGGTGGTGATCGGTGATGGCTGGTTGGTGGCAGCGGCTATGTGGGTGACGGTTTTTAGGGTTTGGCTCTGATACCATATAATTTAAAAGAATACAAAACTTGGGTGATGATTATGATATCATCACCTTTTATATTAATCAATCAACTGTTATAAAAGGAAGTCCTAAGGCACTGATTAGGGAATCACCTTTTATATTGATTGATTGATTGACTGATTAAGGAATCACAATCAATCACAATCTAATCTAAATAAGGAAATAAGAAAATATTCTAACAGAAAATGCATTCTTTATGAAGAATAACAGGATTTTTACACCTTGTCAACAAGAATTATCTCCATTACTCATAACACTAATAATTAATTTCTACTCTATCTCTTTTGTCTTTTTTCTTTCTTTTTCACTCTCACTTTCACCAATCTAGAATGAAGCAAACCTTGTTAACATGTGGCTAGCTATATAACCATGTGTGTATATATTTGTAAATATGTATAAATACATGTAACTTAATATGTATTTAAGTTATACCAGGGATCAACCGTAAGTCCTTATCTTTTTGCTTTAATTATGGATGAGTTGACGAGAAATATTCAAGATGAAGTGCCATGGTGTATACTTTTTGCAGATGATATCGTGTTTATAGATGAGATTAAAGAAGAAGTTAACACTAAGTTTGAGACTTGGAGAGAAGCACTTGCATCTAAAGGATTTAGGATAAGCAAAACTAATACAGAGTACATGGAATGTAATTTTAGTAACAATAATGATGGAGACAACAGAGAACTGAAGATTGACAACCAAGAACTACCTAAGAGTGAACATTTTTATTATTTAGGATCAATTATCACAACAGCTTGAGAGATTTTAGCAGATGTGGTCCATAAAATTAAAGAGGGGTGGCTTAAGTAGAGGAGTGCATCTGAGGTACTGTGCAATAAACGAGTACCAACTAGACTAAAAAGAAAATTGAATAGAACGACTATTAAAACAGTGATGTTGTATGGAATGGAATGGAATGTCAGGCAACTAAGAAATAACATGCAGATAAGATGAGTATTGCTGAAATGAGAATGCTGAGGTAGATGCGTGGCAAGACTAGAAAAGACAAATTTAGGAATGAGTATATTCGTGAATGGATAAGAGTAGCGCCAATAGAAGATAAGCTAAAAGAGAATAGATTGAGATGGTTTAGTCATATACAACGAAGATCAACATAAGCAGTAGTGAAGAGATGTGATATAGTGACGGCAGATAGAATTGTTAGAGGAAAAGGCAAACCTAAATTGACATGAGCTAGTCTAGTAAATAGAGATATTAATCTCCTTAATTTGACTAACCAAATGGTCGTTGATAGAGTCGAGTAGAGAAGAAGGATTCATGTAACCAATCTCATTTGATTGAATTTAAGGCTTGTTTTGTTTTGGTTTGGTTTCGGTTTACATATAACTTAATATGTGATTAAATTAGAAATGAAGTTAAAAAGTTAGGAAAGGTTAAAAATTGAGGAAATCTGATTTCTTAATTGACAATTAATTTAGGATTTATATTTAGTAATGGCTCAATGGTAAAACCTCCTAATAATCTTGAGGCTATGTATTCAAATTTAGGGGCAACCACTTTGTGCATTATGCCAAAAGTTAAGTGTATAACCAATATTTTCCCTCCCAAACACGTATTAGTGTATACTAATTGGGCGTCGTTTTTTTTAATTTAGTAATGGTCATGGAGGCATGTCTAATTTTTATTTTATTTTCTTTGTTTTTCAAAGATGGAAGAAAGTGAAAAAAATAAAAATACACCCACATATACACTAATGCTTCTTATATATCTATGCTCTAAATTTATTTTCATGTACATAGAAATATATATATATATGTAAAATAAATAAAAATTTCCGTATCCTCCGGTGTCCGTATCCTAATTTTTTCGAAATCGTTGTCTCATGTCCGTATTCGTATCCATGCTTCTTAGTGTGCATGTATGCACACAAGAGAGATAGCATTTCCCAATTTTATTAATTCCCAAGTAACAATTATTTATAAAGACTACATGAACACTTGAGATTATGATGCATATCACCCAATGCTAACACAATTGCACACCAAAAAATTCAAGAAAAACACTCAACAGAGTGGAGCAATCAAAAGTTAAAGAGTTCTTCTAACTGACCAAAATTCAAAGACAAAATGAAAACCTAAGAAAAAATATGTTAAATACTTTTAGGGAATAAAATCCCAAACTCCCTCCCTTCACTCTGATCATGACAATCAAGGAAAAAGCTGAACTGTAATCACAAGCATCTGAAATAAAAATCTGTAAGCTAATTCCCCAACAAAACCCATATAGTAAATTTATGCACGCAAAACAGAATGAATAAGAAGGACATCCAAACAGAGATTAAAGATCAACAGCCCAGAACAGGATGACTTACCCCGAAACCCAGATCCGTTTCCACACATGATATCACCATCTGAAGCCACCAAACAAGTAAACATAGCAAAAAAGACCACAAGATCAATGACAAAATACACAAAATTAAGTAAGCTGAAAAAGGTACATTTTTTTTTTAGTCAATACAAAGAACCAAAACCGACAAAACTCAGTCCAAACCACTATTTGTATCACCAATTCCCATATGATCTTACCAAATTTTGACTGACTCATACAGAGAAATAACAAGATATGCGAAGCAAAGCAGAGACTGAAGTACATTGAGTCGTTTAACATACAAACCAAACACATATACGGAATGAAATGGACATAAGGTTCGCTAACCTCTCAAGAATAGCTCGAAAAAAGCCAAACCCACGTCAGAGACAATACCTGGACAAATGGGTACGCATGGTTATGAGTTGAATAGCCCTGATTGTCAATTTTTTTACAAGATACACTTGAAAACAAGAAGAAAAAAGAGAGAACCCAACAAACAGTGGCTATATATACACACAAAAAACACATCTTTGTACCACAAATATATTTTGAGAGAGAGAGAGGTTGTGAAGAATGGTTACCCGGTTTAAGAGAGTTCAGCTTCTATGGCTTCGAATGCTTGAATTCGCGGGACCAGAGAGAGAGAGGGGCGAAGAGAGAATAAGAAAACCAAAAACCGAAGTCTCTTTGTACAGGGAGAGGCTATAGAGAGAGAGATATAAATGTCCTCTGTCTACGAGTTTTTAGTGACGGAAGGAGAACTATACATGAGAGAGAGAGAGAGAGAGAGAGAGACATATGGCCTCATGAGAGAATGAAACAGAGTGTAGTGAAAGGTCCACATGTTGAATCAAATGCTGCCAAGTCAAACAACTTAAGGGTATTTTTGGAAATACACTAATAATAAGGGTATTTTTGTACACAAAAATTTGAAAATCTTGATGTGCACTTGTATGAGTGGTAGATGGGTTGAGATATGTAAAATTTGGGTGCTATTGTAGTGGATAACTTTTCATATTTAGGGATTTTTATGATGGGGACCACAAGGTCTTCTTATTTCTTAAATGTTTTGGTTCCTTTTTTATTAATTGCTTTTAATGGTATGACCAAATTACCCTGGTGTAATCTCATTATAGGTAGATTTTAGTAGCTTTGTTTTTTCAACAGGATTTTAGTACCTCATTCACACCAAAAACACCTTTCTCAATTTACATTATAGTTGCACACATCATGATATACTCATGCATAATTATAATCTCACAAAAAAATAAAAATCGCATCAAGATAACGTGATGATAACATTTTTTTAATTAAAATCAGAAAAACATTTAAGATTCATAAAAAATAAAATAAAAAATTACGATTTGATCTACAATAATATAGTATGATATGTATCAATTTTTGATTTATTACCCAACTAATATTATAAGACTTAATTTCTTAGTCACCATATATGTGAATATGTGAGTTTAAAATTATAAATTTTTAACTTTACTCTTTTACCGTATTGTATAATATTATTTTAAATTATATACAAACACATTCAAGAGTTTATTTTAAATCATGAATAAGTCTATGTGTACAGAAAGCAAATACAGAATGGGACACAACTCTCTAACGAAAGGAGTGTGTGTGGGGCTCATATGTGAGACTTACCCCTTGTGAGATGGTTATATCTTATTCTCTGATTTATTTTTTTATTTCTAACATTACTATTAAATCATACATTGGAAATATGACCAAAATAATTTATCAATTTGGCTGCATTTGAATTTATAAATTTAAAAACAATGGATTTGACATTATTTAGCAAATTAAGTTAGAAGATATTAAAAGTACATTATGATTGAATGATAAAATTATTAATTTATAATATTATTTTGAAAATATAAGATAAATTATGTTTGTCTGTCTCTATACTAATATAGTGGTATAAATTGATTAATTGTGCTTATTTGTGTAATGGTATGATAGTATTAGTTGATTGATAAATATATAAAATTACCTAAAATTCATCATTATGTAAAAAGTGACTTCATTAATTTTACAAAATAAGAGACAAAATAGTCATTTCACTTCTAATCCCTATAATTGAATTTGAATGTCACTATTCCTAAGGACATCCTCCCCAGCTAGAGGGTATCTCTAATAAACTCACCATTTCTCCAAACAAATATACTCCAGTAGGGCCACGGGGATTGGTGAACTTATCCCATAGGCTGTCCCATCTTTGGAGCGCTTCATAATCACATTGACATTTTTTTAAAGAGTAATATTACGCATCTCAAATATTTTATTAAAAATTTTATTAAATATTAAGTGTAGGATTCACATAATATAGATTTTACGTAAGTCTTATAAATATTTAGTAAAATTTTTAAAATTTCTAGCATTTTTATTTTTCAAATCACATGACTTTTTTTTGGGACTAAATTCTCTCTTCCCGTATCCTTACACATGTAGAGTCTTTAATTTAATTTAATGAAATACATCCATACAATCTTCATATCTCTACTTTAGAGCTGTCAATGTGTTTCTAATCGTCAACCTTTTCGCAATGCACTTTGCTATATATTTATTTGGGTAAAAAAATTTTGCAAATAAAATGTTATTCATGGTGGTAGTAGTGATGTTGATAGTTACAATAATAACAATGGCGGTAGTCGTAAGATGGTCACACACTATCTGTGATGGTGACAATGATAATTGTAACGATAGTAGTATTTAGTTGCATTAGTAAGATTTTATTTTCAAAAATATTTTGAATCTTTTAAAAATAGAAGACGTTTTTTGTCCAAATAAATTTATTTTTCATTATTATAAAGAATTATTTTATTAATTTTTTTATAATATTAAAAAGAAATGTAAAAAATATTTTTTTATCAAATCAAATAGAACATAAATTTAATGTAATTTTGGAGGAGGTAACATAACACAACATACAATTTTGCTTCCTGAATACATTGAGCTTTGTCTATTTGTCAAGTTTTCTGACTTAGGCATCGGAGAGGTTTCCGGCACACACCCGCCGGCTAGCTCACGTTTGTGTTTTCAGGTGACAAAGCGACGTCATACGGAGGAGCGTGGACTTGGTCAACAGGATTATACGAGGAGAATTATTTCCTCCCCGTACATATAAGATAAATTATGTTTGTCTGTCTCTATACTATATAGTGGTACAAGTTGATTAATTGTGCTTATTTGTATAGTAGTTGCAGTATGATAGCATTAGTTGATTGATAAATATATAAAACTATCTAAAATTCATCATTATATAAAAAATGACTTTATTAATTTTACAAAAATAAGAAACAAAATAGTTATTTCACTTCTAATCCCCTATAATTGAATTTGAATGTCACTATTCCTAAGGACCTCTTCCCCAGCTAGAGGGTATCTCTGAGTCTAATAGACTCACCATTTCTCCAAACAAATATACTCTAGTAGGGCCACGGGGATTGGTGATCTTATCCCATAGGCTGTCCCGTCTTTGTAGCGGTTCATAATCACATTGATATTTTTTTAAAGAGTAATATTAGTTATCTCAAATATTCGATTAAAAATTTTATTAAATATTCTACAGTGTAGGTCTCACTTAAGTTCTCACAAATATTTACGGTGTGTTTAGTTGGGGAATTTGAAGAGAAATTTGAAAAGAAAAAGTGAAAAGTTAAGTGAAATGTGAATAAAAGATACATACATTTCACTTAGTTTCACATACCTTTTCCCTTTCCCTTTCCCTTTCCAAATCCATTTTCAAATCCCTCAACCAAACACAGTATTAGTAAAATTTTTAAAACTTTTAACATTTTTATTTTTTAAATCACATGATTTTTTTTGGGACTAATTCTCTCTTCCCGTATCCTTACACCTGTAGAGTCTTTAATTTAATTTAATGAAATACATCTATACAATCTTCATATCTCTACTTTAGAGCTGTCAATGTATTTCTAATCGTCAACCTTTTCACAATGCACTTTGCTATATATTTGTTTGGGTAAAAAATTTTTGCAAATAATATGTTATTCATGGTGGTAGTAGTGATGTTGGTGTGGTGATAGTTACAATAGTAGTAATGGCGGTAGTCGTAAGATGGTCACACACTAACTGTGATGGTGGCAATGATAGTTGTGACGGTAGTAGTATTTAGTTGCATTAGTAAGATTTTATTTTCAAAATATTTTGAATCTTTTAAAAATAGAAAACGTTTTTTGTCCAAATAAATTTATTTTTCATTATTATAAAGAATTATTTTATTAATTTTTTTATAATATTAAAAAGAAATGTAAAAAATATTTTTTTACCTAATCAAATAGAACATAAATTTAATGTAATTTTTTTTTTTTCAAATCCACTCATGCAAATAAAATCTTAAGATTTAGGCCTCGTTTGGAAACTCTCATTTTTAGCTAAAAAGTCAAAAAGTTACTAAATTAACCAAAAAGTCAACAACCCATATCAAAAAGTCAAAGATTCTCTTTTCTCTCTATTTTTTACACATCTTTTCGTAAAAAGTCAAAAAGCCATCCCAAACATATTAATTTTTTTTAACTCATATTTTAACCAAATAACTAAAAAATTACTAAATTAGTCTGTTCTCAAACGAGGCCTTACTTTGACTATTCTCCATTCCCAAACGAGGCCTTACTTTGACTATTCTCCATCCTGAGGATGAGTTCTTTTGATATTGAGATTAACACGATCTCACTTTAGTAATAAATGTAAAATCTTCGAACATTTAATTCTAATTTGTCATATTTATAAAGTTCTATTAATGCGAATTGATGATACCCATTCATAACTCTAACCGAAGTTTGTTGTATGTGCTAACTTTTTGGTATGCTGTGATGATTTCATTAATTAATGAAAAATTTTATATTATGATAATCTTGAAATATATGGTTTGGTTGGGTCTACAATTTAGATTTAAGAGTGTTGTTTAGAGTTGTAAGCTCTCATTTCGATAATTTATTTATTTTATATGACTCTTTATATATATTATTCGAGAAAAAAATTATATCATTCTTGTTAAAACAAGTATAACGTAGCGGGAAAAAATCATTAAGTCATACCTTAAATGATAAAACCTGAAGCGAAGAATCTCGTGGGTAAATCACGTGATTCAAGAATGCAAACGACGAACCCCCAGCAGTGGAGTGATACCATAATATGAGTATCATCCACACAAATCACAATGTAAAAAGCTTGATTGTTGTTTAAGGGGAAACAGTCAGTATGGGAAAAACATACGTTGTTTCCATATATCGTATCAGATATATAGGATAAATATATCATCTATCCATATCAGTTGATACGATAGATATAATATCATGAGTGGTTATCCAAATAAGTTTTGAATTCAAATTCAAACTTATATGGATAAGGTTCAAAAGGTTCATGGGTCATGCCACATGGGCACCCAATTTCTAACATCTCCCACTCGCACATGAGTTGGCATGACACTGCCACATCTCTATCTCAATCTCCTAAAAAATGAACAATCTCATACTAGACAATGAACCGTGTGATCGCTGAGAACACCTGCATGTGGGAGCTCTATACTAGAAACTCAAAATGAGCCAACATAGAGACATCAACCCAAAAAAAATAGAAATAGTGTCTCATATACTCTAGACCGATCTAATTACACCGGTCCAAAAAATATCTCTAATCCCTCAAAAAAGAGCATGTTTGACCCTCTCAATTCTTGCAATATATTCACATCCAATCCGCCTCTCATACAGAGCGATGTGAGTTACT